GAGGGAACTGATAATCTGTGCAAGCATAGTGCAGGTTCATGGATCTTCGTAGGATGCATGCTCACAAAATGGCGGCATTCCCATGATCCAAGGGTGGAGCTTTTAGCTCCCTGATGTCAAAGAGTCATTTATTGGTCATCCTCGCAGGCCCAGTTGATGAGTTGGTGGTCTCAACTGGCCTGAACTGGACAAGGAGTCCACTCTCAATTCCTGAAAAACTTGAGCACCTCGCCTGTTACCGTGGTGACCCAGGTGACAGAGATGTTATCTATAGGGTGGGCTTCAGTAATGCATTATCCGACTACTTTTGTATACACACAACTAATTAAGTATAGTTAAAACAAGTTCGCCTCTGGTTTCATGTGTACGTGTGTGTGTGTGTGTGTGTGCATGATGTATTTTGTGGTAGAAACAATAGTATTTGTAGGATTTAGCCAGTGAGAATATATACAGAAATGTTTTTTAAAGACATAAAATGGCTTTAGATAAATATGATAAATCTCCACTCTCACCTGATGAATATCATGTCTTCCCACCACCGTTAGTTCCACCCGTTTGTCTCGTCTCAATACTCATTATCCTGTTTCCTTCCTTTTCCTGTGGATGAACTGGCATATTCCTTTCTAACGCCTCCTATCCTCCCTTCCTTAAGACTTCAGCACTCGGCCCTTCTCCCTTCTGCATCAGCACAATTCCCTTAAGCTGGATTAATACCCTCAGCCTATGAATGTGCTGTTCGTTTGCCTGTCTTTATAAAACCTTCCCTTGACTTCACACCCCCTCCACCTGCCCTTTCACTTCTTTCCTCTCCTTTACAACAAAACTCCTTGGAAGAATTGTCTGTAACCAGTCTCCACTTCGTGTCGTCTCGTTCTCTCTTAAATCTATGCCAATCAGGCTATCACCCTAGTCCACTGTGACAGCTCCTGAAGGATCTCTTGTCAACCTCCTGAAGGATCCTCAAGTTGCCCAATTCTATGATAGAATCCATTCTTAGTTCTCATCTCACCTGACATGTTGGCAGTATTTGATGGCGTGGAAGGTCTTTTTCCTCCATGAAATGCCCTCTTTACTATGCTTTGGGCCACCTCCTCCTCTCTCTCTTGGTTTTTCTCCTGTTTTGTCGACCACTTCTGCTCACTCTCCATCTCCTGATCTCTAAACATGGGAAAACCCAGGGCCCAGTGCTCTGACCTCTTCCCTGTCTAACTTTCTCACTTAGTGATCTCATCCACATGCCTGACTTTAATGAATTCCAAATATATATCTCTAGTTTAGACTTCTCCCTAGATGAAATGCTCTCATGTATCCAGACCCAAAGGCATTTTTGTGCTAATTAGAAAAAGCTGCCATTTTCCTCAAGCACTTGACTGCCATCTTCTGGAAAATTTTCAGAATAAATATATGCCTATCAGATGACTAAGAACGTGAATGGTATCTCTTGTGGCTGTGTAATCCTCAACCAATAGCAGCAGTTCTGTTTCTCCACTTGGGTGGCATGTAGTGGGCATCACAAGCTTAACAGGTTCCAAACTGAGCTGATTCCCAACCCCCATCACCCCCACCTCTTCCTTTCAGTCTTTTCTATTTCAGAATTCTTCCCTTCGCTGAGGTCAAACTCCTTGAAGTTCTTCGTGACTCCTTTCTTTCTCCCATACCCCACCTTTAATCCATCAGCAAATTCAGTTGGTTTTTCCTTCAAAGTGCATTAGAATTTAACCGCTTCTCACCATTCCCACTGCTGCTACCCTGGTCCAAGCCCCATCATCTCTCACCTTTGTGATTCCAATAGCCAGCTTCCTCTCTTGCTCCTCATTATCTGTTCTCAACCTCAACCCAGCAGCCACAGATATTTGTTTAAAACCTAGGTCACATCATGTTTCCCTTCTACCCAAAACCCTTCCTGAGGTCTACCATTCACTCAGAGTAAAACTCAAAGTCCTAAAAATGGCCCACAGCCGCTACACAGTCCAGGTCTGGACCATAGCCCTGACCTCATTGCTGTCTCTCTCCTCAGTGTGCTTGTGCTCTAAGCTTGTTGGCCTCCTTGCTCTTGGTCCAATATGCCAAGCATGCTCCAGACACTCTGCCAGGATGCCCTTATATGAAGCATGACGTGCTCCCTCCCTTTCTTGAGTTTTCACTCAAATCTCACTTTATCATATCAGAGAAGCCTTCCTCAACCAAAGCATCTAGCAAAGCAACCCCCCTTCCCCAGCCTTTACTATCCCCCTCCTGTTCCATTTTCCCCATAACACTTCATTGTCTGACACACGCGCATTGTGTACTGTTTCATGTCACTAGAATGTAAGCTTCATAAGCCTAGAGACTTATTTCTCTCCCCTCTGCTATATTCCTGATTTCTAAAACAGTGCCTGGCAAGTAGTAGGAGCTCAATAAATGTTAGTTGAATAAATAAATTAAGAAAGGCGTCCCTAAATCTCTGTGGGACCCAATCCTTAAAAAGACACACAGGTTTGAGATGGTCCTGTACATTCTAATCTCTCAATTCCAAGGTAAAAGCATTTTCAGGAGTCTAAGAATAAATTTAAATCTAATTTGAAAATTGCATCTGTTTTACAACCTTCTGGAAGGGCATTAGTTTCCTACAGAGAAAGCTAGTAGGCGCCATCTAGTGGCAAGAAGAGACTTCCACATTTGTGTTTCTTGAATTATTGATTGGTATCGTAATTGAAAACATAGTCCCTGATCCAGAAGCTTATCGATTCTATGAAAGCAATAATTATAATAGCCATAAGTCCTCAAGTGTGCATTTGCCACAGAATACATAGAATTTAAAAAGTACAGTTCCATTTATTCCATTATTTATGACTCATTTTTACTTATTAATTTTTGTTTGTTTTCTGGGTTCTAACATCTTTTGTTCATCTTTATTTTTCTTATTGTTTTATCCTCTACTTATCTTTAAATTCTTACATTCTCATGGTCCTGGCCTATCCATTGAGTGGGTAAATAAAGTAAAGACTATATCTTCTGAGAATTTATATTCTAATAAAAAGAGCGCCTATGAGGGTAAACATGTGAAAGAACATGCCCAAATGATGCAATGATCTCTTGAGGCCAGACTTCTGAAGGCTATTGAAGCTTTATTGTTGGATATACTCACACCATTGAGGGATGAGATTTCGAGAGTCTTAGCTTGCCATTTTTTCAGAAGGTAGCACATATTATTATATAGAGAAACTAAGAAAAATATTCATGTCCATGCACGTTGACAGGAAAGACAGAGGTTAAATAAAGGCTCTGACTGTCAGTCAAACTTTCGAAAAGTTAGGTCTTTACAGTTCTTTGGTAAATTAAAGCAGATTCTCGTTGGTCCACTTTAGGAGCCCATGACCTTCCCAGTCCTGAGTAACTGAGGTGGGGCTGGGTAATCTGTGTCTGCCACCAGGAGGCCTGAGCACTGACCAGACTAGCCAGAGAAGGCCATGAGAGAAGCCCAGGGTGGAGATGGACTCTGCTGCCACTGCTCAGATTAGTCTCAGCCTTTTCATGCAGAAGAAGGCTTTGAGTAGCTCCAGAGGGCAAAAGTTGGACCAAAGGAATATGATAAGAAAGCAGATTACATACCAACATTAAGAAACATTTTTCAATAAGTTTTTTCCAAAGAGATCAAAGCCTCAGCTCCCTGTCAGTGGGTTGTCCAAGCAAAGGCTGGATGATGACCTGCCAGGGATTTGTTGAAGCTGTTAAGATTCTCTGATTCCCTGATAAACCTTGCTTTCTCTCTGTGCACCCTGAACCCCTCGTGACTCTTCAGTACTCAGTTCATACCCCGCCTCCTTTTTTGGGCACTACAGCCTGAAGCCATCTTTCCTCTCTCTACCTTTCCTATCACTTTAAGCACAGATCAACACTTATTTTATGCTGCCTGTGGTAACTTTTTGTCTCTGTGATATGATCTTTTGCTCTCCAAGCTAATGCTAAGCCACTTGGAGACGGGCGACCACATCTTATAGTTGTCTTCCTATTGGCCTTCCCATAGTGGGTGACGGTTAAATGTTTATGGTGGGGAATGGTAGAAAGACTACCAGTAATTGTCTTAGCTGATGCTGGGGCCCAAGATGCTTAGCCTTAGTGTAAGTTCAGTGGGGCAGTTCTTCAGCTAGTTATTAGAGAAACTAAAATGTTTGTTAAGACTTCTTCCCTTGTTAAAATTATAATAATTTTTTTTAGATCTGATAGTATCAGCTTCCTTTCTGAGTTGTGTTGTTTATCATATTCGTGATATTTCTGGAAGCAGGTATAGAAATTGATAGTACAACAGCTGGTAAGATGTTATTGAAACTTAAAAATAATTTTCCATTATTATGTGGTTATTTTAGAGTGTTTTCTTCTGCTTATAGTGTTGTTTTGTTTTTAGATTACAGGTAAATATTTTCTCTGCTATAATACTCTATATCTTCTTTTTCTTGAGAAAATATCTTTTTAATTAGACAAGTTGGTGTGGTGTTTTGAATAGCATATTTTTAAGCTAAAATATTCCATAATATTATTTCTTTTCAAAGAATTCAGCAAACTTTATTTCTAAATCTTCTTGCCTTTTGAAATGATATTTATATAACAATATTCCCTCATAATAAAGTGGTGATATTGAAAAAGGACGTGCTAATAAGATTAGTAGGTAGTCTCTGTGTGCCCTAGATCTGATTTCTTTGACAATTGGATGCTGTTGTTTGTTGCTTTATCATTTGGAAGGCCAAAACTCTCTTTAAATTATTTAATAGGTTAAATGGTTTAAGGATTACTTATAGTACTTAATTGCTTGTCTGAAAATTAGCAAATTTAGCACCCTTAGCATTTGTACTATGTTTAATATTTCTAAAGTGTTAGCTGTGCTTCTTAGTAACTGCCGTGTTTTCTCATTCTGATGGCTAAAGAAACAATGTTGGATACTTTGACTTGTAATTAAAGAAACATTGTTTCCTTGTAATTGCAAAAATACATGAATTTTAAGTTGTATTAATTTTCTTTTGTAGAATATGCTGAATTTCTACATTGCAAAGGAAAAAAATTTACAGATTTTGATGAAGTTCGCCATGAGATTGAAGCAGAAACAGATCGAGTGACTGGAATGAATAAAGGCATTTCCTCCATACCCATTAATTTAAGAGTCTATTCCCCACATGGTAAGTAAAATAACAGAATTCATTTTGTCCTCAAAAATTTTTACTACATTAATTAACATACGTTGTTTGTATAGAGGATGGTTTATTCTCTCAAAAAGCACCAGGTTTCCAGGATAGTGTTTGGATACTGCCGTAAATGGTATAGTGCAAAGAGCTCATAGATTTATTTATGGGGAGGCAGTGGGAGTTGACTTTATTTATTTTTATTTTGAGGAAGATTAGCCCTGAGCTAACATCTGCCGCCACGCCTCCTCTTTTTGCTGTGGATGACTGGCCCTGAGCTAACATCCATGCCCATCTTCCTCTACGTTATATGTGGGATGCCTGCTAAGCATGGCTTGATAAGTAGTGCATAAGTCCATGCCCAGGATCCAAACCAGCGAACGGCAGGCAGCCAAAGCTGAGCATGAGAGCTTAACCACTATGCCACCAGGCCAGCCCTGGGAGATGACTTTTAAGAAGATCAGAATTGCGTTGTCATTTAAAAAATTTCCTTTATGTTTATTTTAAACTTTTAGAATTCCAAAGAGGTATGCATAAAAGCTTCCATTTTTAGCATCTTCTGTTTTTGCAAAAATCTTGGAGGTACATGGTGCTATAGTTGAGTTTTCCCCTGTTGGATTTTCTTGCAGCCCTATTTATTCCTATTTATTCTCTTCCTGAGGAATCAACTGTGATGTTTTTCCCCCAGACTATCAGCAGAAACTTATTAATTAGATAACTGGTTCATGGTGTGTGATATGGAATGGCCTCTATTCTGCCTAAATTTTTAGTGGGGCAGATTTTCATCACCGATCCTCTACCCAGCTCAGTTGCTTTTAAAACACAGCATCAATGACATAAGCTCAAATCTGACTTCCCAAGAGGACTTGGCACCAACACTGTTGTGTGCAGAGAGAAGGATAGCCAGGTTGGGCTGGAGTCACTGACTCAGGAGTAGTTTCCGGCTTTCTGGGATGGTGCTCCGTGAGTCTGGCTGTTTCACCTACACAGTAACCTAATGGCACTATGAATGGCTAACAGCTTTCCAATAGGCCAAGTGGCTAACCCCTTGTAAATAACATATGATGCTTTTGAAGGGCAGGACTACTCTTACCCTGAGAAGTTTTACACCGTTTAAAGGCAATGTGCAAGACTGGCAGACAGCATATGTACTTATTGTTCAGTGTTTAATTATAACCCCCAGTTATGGATATGACAGCTCTCTGAGAAACCAGTTAGGCATGCAAATCAGTACCTTTCAAATTATGTCAAGATGATCATTTGGCATAGCACAAGCATATCATAAAAATAGAGAAAACTTGCAGCCATTTTGTATTCTATGCTTTTTATTCTACACATGAGCTGGAGTTATTCAGATGTACAATATGTACAGCTGAGCTTGTTTTATTTCCCCTACAGTGACAGATGATTCTGCATTGTCGATATCTTTAACATGGAGGGTGTATGTAAGGCTCTTTTTTTTCCCTCTCCCCACAGTGTTAAATCTAACCCTTATTGACCTACCTGGAATTACGAAAGTGCCTGTGGGAGATCAGCCTCCAGATATTGAGTATCAGATCAGAGAAATGATTATGCAATTCATCACACGGGAGAACTGTCTGATTCTAGCTGTGACCCCGGCCAACACTGATCTTGCAAACTCAGATGCACTGAAGCTAGCTAAGGAAGTCGATCCTCAAGGTAAGTGTGTGAAAGGGAATTCGTTTAAAATGTCAAGAGTTTGGGGATATTTCAAGGTAACACAAATTCTCATAACTTGATTTCATTATTAATTAAATTAGCCATTATTAATATTGTTAGATCTTTTGTATTTAAGATGCTGAAAGAAAAATAACTGGGGAATATAGCCTGAACCTATATAAATAAATGTAAGATTAACTGAGATCCAAGAAAATAGACATTTCTAATCCTCACGAACTACTTATTTTAAAAAGCCAATAGAACAAACTTCTGGTACAGAATTCAGATAATCTCCTTAGTTATTATAAGAGTTACCTGAATATACTCCCAATAAAAAGTCTTTCTGTTTTTTGTTTGTTTTGTGAAGTTCTTTTAATGCATGTAAGATATTATTTAGCTTACAATTATTTGACATAAATACGCGTTATAAAAGCAGAGATTTATCTGTTGTTGGCATTTCAGAATCCAAAAGTCTCTTATTTATGCTGATGTTTTGTTTTTTCTTTCTCTGAGCCAAGTAATAATGTTTCTCTTGAGAGACCCCAGTGATTAGCCTTCGTGTGTGCGTGAAAGTAATTACGGAAGGGCGTTCAGTGATGTGTCCTTTCAATGTGGAGATGTGTGTCCTCCAACTCTGGGAATTCTCCTTTTTTATAATTAATTGCCGCCATGTTCTCTGTCCTCTTTATCTGGAATTATCATTAGTGTGTTAGAACTCCTGGATTAATCCTTGTTTTTTTTTAGTCTTCCTCTTTTATCATGTGTGTCTCTTTGTTCTACTTTTTGCAAGGTTTACTCAACTTTATCTTTAGCTCCTCTGATTAATTTTTCTTTTCTGGTGTGATTTAAAAAGTCCCAACAGCATTTTCTTATTTTGTGAATGTTATTTTTATTTTTTTAAATACCATTGTACTCTTGGTTTCTCAAGTGTAGTATCTTCCCGAAAGATTTTAATGAGAAGCTTTGAGGTTTTGCTTTTGTAATCTACAGTGTCTCTGAGTCCATTTTTTTCTGGTTGTTTATTTTGGTCATTGTCTTTGATGTCAGAGACCTTTTTCAGATGATTGGTGATCTTTTTCTGCCCATTGGGACATAAGAGTAGAACACTAAAAAGCTGGTGGAAGCTCTGTGTGTGTGTGAATGGGGTTCATTGGCTAATGGGCTTTACGGTAGGGTCGTTGGGCTGGGACCTGGCCTTTTTATAGGAGGCCTCCTCAGTTGCTATTAGATTCTATGAATATTTTCTCTTGAGCTAGTCTGGTATAAGCCTGATGTCCAGAGGTCTCAGAGCCAAGAGGAAGAATTGAGTTGGTCGGGGGAGGTGGGGTGGTTCTCACTCTTCAGCACGTGGACTTTTCATTAATCCCTCTGTTTTCATAGCGGCATTCTTGAAGGTCTCCTGGAGTGCAAAGTCCCTCTGGCTCATCCTCTTCTGAAAGTAAATCTTCAATATTCTGCTGAGGTTACAGAGGAGTAACTCTGGTTGTGCAAGATGGGAAAAAGGTCTGGAGATCTAACAGCATCCCATATAAATTTTCAGCCAATTCTTTTATTTTCAGCTCCTCTTACCCACTGGCCTTGATGCCTTCCATTCTTGAACCTTTCTGGAGTTCTGCAATAGTCATTGGTTTGCTTTTTTTTGGCTTCCTTCAACATCCCTGAGATTGGGGCTTAGAACAAAGCAGGTAGACGCTCCGGATGGCTACCTGGGGACCATCACCAGGACTCCTTCTCCAGTATTAGAGCCAGATTATGGATTGGGGCCAGAGTCTAATTGTAAGAATGATGCTGGAACACCACTGTCTCAGCAGCCTTCTTGTCCCACAGGAGACAAAGCCATGGTTATCTGATTGAAAGAGAGCACGCCCATCAGTGGATTTTAGTGAGTGCAGCACCGTCACATTCCTCAGAAGTCCACACTTAGTCCTGATGAAGCTTCATGGAGGAGTGCAGATGCTATCCCCAGTGTCTGATCGCTCTTTGGTCAATCCTTGGTTCTGCCTCCTTGGAGTTGGTTTTTTTCTCAGACAGATTCTCCTCACAGGGGCAAGATGGCTGCAGTTGCTTCTGCCTTACGTCCTCACAACTTCAAATATAGTAGAAGAAAAGCCAATGGAGAACCTTTTATTTGTATAAACTCTGAATTTTATAAGAAATATAAACTAAAAGAAAATTGGCCAACGAGTATATCCTGTGAAGTATCTGCAGTTACTTCCTGAGATTGATTTAACATATTCATGCTATATTTTACTCCCCTTGTGTAGACAGGGAATATTAATGGGCACTGACTACATTTCGTTCCTCAGACTCCTCAAAAGCAGATTCATTTATAACCCAATGCAGTAACTCTCACGTGATGGCAGATCATCAGGTGGGAGCAATTAATGTTGGTGGAGAGAATCACCAGTTTCCCAGAAAGGAATCAGTCTTTGCCATCTCACTGCCAGCATTTACATGAGTTGTTATAGTACAAGTGAAATACAGCATTAGCTGTCACTCATGCATCTGTAATTGTATGCCACAAATCTATATCCAGAAAGTTAAGTGAGAATATATTTCATGAACTTACCCTAAATGAACCTCATCTCTTCTGGATCATTAGAACTCCTGCTTTGTCAAAGATAGGACCTCATTACCCCAATTTTTCATATCTTGCGTATGGTAGTCCTGAGAACAGATTTTTGAAAGTTTTGCAGATAATTGGCAGGTAATTTTGTAGGTATTTGATAATTTTTCAGAAACAGAGAAAACATTCCATGGCACTGTGTGCCGCTTCTTTGTCTGCTGATTTCTGCATGGTGATTGCTAAGGACAGCTTCATTGCCTGAAGGCTCTCAATAAGTATGATTCTTGGGTTAGTTACTGAAAGTTCCTTGCTAACCTCAAGGTTTATTATTTGTTTTCGCATCCCAGTTGCAATTCTGAAACTCCTGAATAGTGTCATAGTTGAGAAACCTGAGAACTATCAGAAGGATTTGCATGGCGATCAAGTCTCCACCAAAGACCCACTTTGGTATGTTGTTTTCCTGGGGCTTTGGCTGGTTCCGGACTGAAGCTCCAAAGGACGAGGGTGAATTCTTGCCCAAACTAATAGGGTTCACATTGTGTGTTTTCATTGGTGGTAAAAGAATTAAAATAGAAAAAAGAAGAAGCTGTAGAACCCAATACGACTCCAGTTTGGAACATGGTATATAGAGATACGACGTATTGGGGTTAACGAATAGATACCTTCGTATGCCCTCTTTCCTCCTAATCATTCTGTGGCTATGTTCCAAACATCTGATTCACAGATCTACTTTTCCTTATAATAAGCAGTGGTAAAAAAGCAGTGATATCAACTTTGGTTATTTAGGAATGTGTTGCTTAATTTCCACGTTTGTGAATTTCCCAAACTTCCTTTTGTTATTGATTTCTAATTTCACCCCATTGTGGTTGGAGAATATACTTTGTATTATTTCAGTCTTTTTAAATTTATTGAGACTTGTTTTATGGCTTAACATGTGGTGTATCTTGGAGAATGCTCTTGTGCATTTGAGAAGAATGTGTGTTCTGCTGTTGTTGATAGAGTGTTCAATAGATGTTTGTTAGGTCTATTTGGTTTACAGTGCTGTTCAAATATTCTGTTTCCTTCTTGGTCTTCTGTCTGGTTGTTCTATTATTGAAAATGAGATATTGAAATCTCCCACTATTATTGGTGAATCATCTATTTCTGCCTTCAATTGTGTTGTTTTTTGCTTTATGTATTTTGGGACTCTGTTGTTAGGTGCATTTATACTTGTTATGTCTTCTTGATGGATTAACCTTTTGATCATTATAAAATGTCTGTCTTTGTCTCTAGTAACAATTTTTGCCTTAAATTCTATTTTGTTTGATATTAATGTAGCCACTCCATCTCTCTTTTGGTTACTGTTTGCCTGCTATGTTTTTTCCATCCTTTACTTTTAACCTACTTGTGTCTTTGAATATTAAATGTGTCTCTTGTAGACAGCATAGAGTTGGATCATTTTTTAAAACCCATTCTGCCAATATCTGCCTTTTGATTGGAGTGTTTAATCCATTTCCATGTAATGTAATTACTTATAAGGTAGAATTTATGTCTGTCATTTGCTGTTTGTTTTCTGTATGTATTTTGTTTTTTTATTTCTCTATTACTGTCTTTTTTCTGTTAAAAAATATTTTCTAGTGTACCATTTTAGTTCTCTTGTAATTTATTTTAGTATTTTTCAAAGTTATTTTCTTAGTGGCTGCTATGGAGTTACAATTAACAACTTATAACAATCTAGTTCAGATCATTGTACAGTATTTTAACAGTGTACAAAATTTTTGCTCTTATATAGCTCCATTCCCTCCCCTTCCTTTGTGCTATTATTGTTACACAAATTGCATCTTTATATATCACAAGCTCATCAACACAGACATGTAATTATTGTTCATGCAGTTGTCTTTTAAATCAGATAGAAGAAAAAAATTTTACAAACAAAAATGCATTTATATTTTCTTTTATATTTACCTATGTAGTTACCTTTACCTACTGTAGTGTAGTTACCTACACTTAGTAGTAGTTACTACTAAAGCGTAGTTACCTACACTTTACCAGTGTTCTCTACTTCTTTGTGTGTGTTTGAGTTACTGTCTAGTGTCCTTTCATTTCAGCCTAAAAGACTCCAGTTAGTATTTCTTGCTAGTGAGGATTCTCTCAGTTTTTGTTTATCTGATAATGTCTTAATTTCTCCTTAATTTTTGAAGGAAAATTCTTAGTTTATAGTCTTTTTCTTTCACCACTTTGAGTATGTCATCTCACTGCCTTCTGACCTCTGTGGTTTTCTAATAAGTCAGCTGTTAATCTCACTGAGCATCTCTTGACATGACAAACAGTCAGCATCATCTCATTGAGGATCTCTTGAACATACACAACTTGCTGCTTTCAAGATTTTCTCTTTGTCTTTTGAGTGTTTGATTATGATGTGCGTACATGTGGAGCTCTTTGGTTTAATCCTACT